GGGACTTCACTTACTGAGCGAGAGCCACTTCCTCCATCTCCAGCAACGGGCCAACGATAAAAAGCCACCAAGAAGAGCCTGACCCACCCTTGGCTGCTCTTCACGAAGGGCCCTGTTAACATGTCACCTTTTTGCAGGAGAAACTTGAGAAGCTAATCGACACAGCAGTTGGAAAGTGTCGGGGTCAGAGATGGCCCCGGGGCTCCAGCACCTGCTTCACTTAGTGCCCAGCAATGATCTCCTGGTCTCAGAAGTAGCCATGGCCTTGGGACTTACAGTTCTATTCTGTTTCTGTAACTGACACGCTGGGTATTTTTTAGACAAATTAACTCACCCCTCTTTTTAAAATTGTGTGTGTGTAGAGCCCAAAGTTTTGTCAGTGGTTACCGGGGGAGTCCCCGGGTAGCACAAATGGTTAAGTACTTGACTACTAGTCAGAAAGGTTGGAGGTTTGAACCCACCCCGAGGCACCTCAGAAGACAGGTCTGGTGATCTGCCTCCAAAAGCCTTGCAAATCCCCTGCAGCAGTTCTACTTGGACACTCATGGGCGCCGCGACCCTCGACCCAACTGACCTGACAATAACCAACAAGCCCTCAAACCAGGGCAGGGGTGGGAATAGCTGTTTAAGGGGCAGTGAGTTTCTGTGTGTGGTGATGGGTCATTTGGCAACAATTATGGGTGACGGCTGCACACCATGATTAACTAACTGATATCACTGAATTGTTTGGGTGAAAACTTTAAGTTGGCGGATGTTGTTATGATATATATATATATATATATATATTTGTATTTTTATTTATTTATTGAAGTATTTATTGTAACTTGGGTGAAAGTTTACAAAGCACATTAATTCCCCATTCAAGAATTTATATACATTGTGTTTTGTGATCCTGGTTGTAACCCCACAATGTCACAGCACTCTTCCCACTTTCTCCCTGGGTTGCCCATCCTCGTTCATCCTTTCTCCTGCCTCTTCCTGCTTTTTGAGCTTTGTCTTTGGGAAAATGCTGCCCTTTTGGTCTCAGATGGTTGATTATACCAAGGAGTATGTTCTCCCTTCCTGTGTCCATGGCAGACATCATTAATTGATCACAGAGCTCTTTGCTTCTGAGCCTCAGTTCTCTTTCTAAAACATGCTCCCAGAAGCCACAAAGAGACAAAACCCATTGGAGCCATTCTCCCCTGGGAGACACAGGACCCAAGGCATGTCAATAGGGTTCTTCTCTCTCTCTCAGGTGAGATTTAGATGGAAAAAGCATCAAGGGCAGCTTCCAACAATGAAACTGAGGAACACAGACCTTGGAGAGTCAAAGTATGATAGCAAGGTGGATACAATGAAGATCCATGGCATTAGGAAAAACCAGTGGGGCGATGGTGGTTCAATGGTACAATTGTCACCTTCCATGCAGGAGAACAGGGTTTGATTACAGGCCAAGGCACCACACATACAGCCACCACCTGTGTCAGTGGAGGCCTGTACATTGCTGTGATGCTAAATAGGTCTTAGTGGAGCTTCCAGAAAATGATGGACCAGGAAGAAAGGCCTGGTGACTTACTTCTGAGAGTCAGCCAATGAAAACCCTGCGATCTAATGGTCCACTGTGCATGGGCTCACCATGAGTTGAGAGCTGACTCGATGGCAGCCAACGACAATAATGACAATAACAGGGGAGGATCTATTAGGTCAGACTGCTGTTATTCTACACCCCGTCCTTACTCGTTCAGAAGGCACCTTGAGTGCCTGCATAATCAGCATGATTGGGGCTCACCGGTGACTACAGCCAATGCCTACCTTGGACTTGACCGCCAGGATGATCTTGGGCAGGGCCACTATGAGGCACTTGAGGGCGATGGTGATGTACTTCAGTACAAAGTCTGCGATCCCCACGATCCACAGCAGGTCGAAGAAGTCCAGGGTTTCCAGGTTGGGCTTAAGGAATATGAGGCTGAGGAGGAGGAGTCACAGAGTCAGGATGCTTGCTCAGGGCCTGGCTCTCAGCACCTTCTCTACTTGTTCTGGGAGCCATGCACCATTATTGAACCGGGTCTCAGGTGTCTGTCCTGATGCTGAATCTGCTCCTAATTAACCTGCTGTGTGATCTCAGGAGAGTCTCTTAACCTCTCTGAGCCTCAGATCCCACAAGGATTAAACGATGATGACCTGGACCTGGAGCACTGCAGTGGTCCCTCTAGTTTTATGTGTCCACAACAAGTTCACAAAGGGTGGAAGGGAGGGAAGGAAATTGATGAGCCAGGTATTTGCTAAGCTCTTTACTTACCGTATCACATTAAATCCTTGCAGCAACCCTGCACAGTGAGCAGTGCTTACCTCCTTTTATAAAGGACTCACTAAACCTTGGAGTGTCCAATCCCCAGTGGGGCTGGTACAGGACCGGGCAGCATTTCATTCCATGATACAAGGGGTCACCATGAGTTGGGGGCCTACTCCATGACAGCCAGCAACAACAAAGCTTAGAGTCACCCAAGGTCACACTTCATGATAAGCATAAGGGCATTAGAGTCACAGAGACACGAATTTGAACCTAGGTTTCTCCATTAATTTGCTACCCAGCCTGGGCAGGTAACATCATCTCAGAAAGCCTCAGTGTTCTCATCAATAAAATGGGAATCACTCCCTCCCTCTCATGGTGCTGTCGGCAGGATTTATAAGCCAATGGACAAATCACAGTGCCTGCCATGCAGCGATGATGTTGGTAACAGCAGCTCTGCAAGGCAGCCACCAGTATCACTCCATTTTGCAGATGAGAAAATCGAGGCATAGAAAGGCAAAGCGACATGCACAGTGTCACACAACAATTAAAGGACAGAGGTGGATCTGAACCCAGGCATCTTGGCTACAGTTAGTGCTCTCAATCCTAACACTACAGCAATGTTACACAGAGCGTGTAAATGCACGTTACCTGTCTGTGAGCAGGTAAGTTAAACTCATGCTCAATTTCTGTACTTATCTCATTGCAAATAGATAATAAGCAGTTCTTACGGACCACACTCTGAGTAGCTCTGCTCTCTACCACCTCTGAGGATGATGATGTTATTTGTAATAACAATAGCAGCTTAAATAGTTTGGCACCTCACGCCATGGCAGTTAGACTCCATGTTATATACCTTAACTCATTTCATTTCCCCAAAGACTCTATGAAGTATGTTCAGTGACAGTCCCATTTTGAGTAAAGGAACTGGGGCACTAAGAGGCAGCGGGACTTGCCCACAATGTCTCATCTGGCTTGTGGAGCTGGGCCTAGAACCAGCACTCCGATCTGTGCCGACTGCCCTCGCCTCTATTGCCTCTGGATTAGTGGCTCTGAGCAAGGGTCAGACTGAGTCCTATCTGTCCCCTTCAAGGCAGGGCACAGTACACACAGCTGCTTTCTAACTGCTGTGGCAATACCCTGCCAGGCTGGCTGAAAAGGGGCAGAACGAGGCCCCCTAACTGTAACATCCTAGGAATGCATTGCAGGCGGTGCCATTGGTGGTCTGGTGGTAGAATCCTCCCCTTTCATGCAGGGACTCAGGTTTGATTCCCACTCAGTGTACCTTGTGGCCAGCCACCACACCTCTGTTAGTGGAGGCTTACTGATGCTGAACAGCTTTCAGTGGGGCTTCTACACTAACACAGACTAGGAGGAAAGGCCTGGCAATCTACTTCTATAAAAATCAGCCAGTGAAAACCCTATGGAGCAAGTAAGCCCCATGCCCACTGACCATGGAGATGGTGCAGGATCGGGCAGCGTCTTTCGGTTGTGCGCTGGGTTGCCTTGAGTTGGGGGCCGACCCGAGGGCAGCTAGCAACACCACTACCACAAACGCATTGGCCTAGTTTTTACTTTTATTTTTAAAAGTCTATTTCTAGTGGAAAGAAAGAAAAACAAAACGCTGTTTCTATTTATAGTAAAAACCTTTAAAAAGCTAGAGTAGGGCAAAATCAATGAAAAACGTCTATGACGGCAGCAATTGCTCACAAAACCTCTAGTGTCTTCCCACATCCTGGCTGTCTCCAGGGGAGTCATGACCTTCAAGTGTGAGCAGCTGTTCATGTAAGGCTGGTGGGCTCCCACAGGCTCTGACTGGCCCCCAAGGAGGGAGTGCAGTACATTTGGGGGACTTCTGGGACCTTCTTGATGAGTCTTAGGGCCAGGATTCAGAGACCAATGCCCAACAGTATTATTGCTGTTAGATGCCTTTGAGTTGGCTCCGACTCACAGCAACGCTATATACAAGAGAACAAAACACTGCCTGGTTCTGAACCATCCTCACAACCACTGCCATTCTGGAGCCCGCTGCTAGAGCCACCATGTCAATCCATCTCACTGACGGTCTACTCCTCTTTTGCTCATCCTCTACCAAGCATGACATCCTTCTCTAGGGACTGGTCCCTTCTGACCATAGGACCAAAGTACATGAGATGAAGGGTGGCCATTCTTGCTTCCAAGGAGCATCCCAGCTGCACTTCCTCCAAGACAGATTTATTTGTTCTTCTGCCAATCTGCGGTATTTTCAATATTCTTTGCCAGCACCACAATTCAAATGCATAAATTCTTCTTCAATCTTCTCTATTCATTGTTCAGCTTTCACATGCGTATGAGGCAGCTGAAAATACCATGGCTTGGGTCAGGCACACCTTAGTCTTCAAGGTGATACCTTTCCTCTTTAACAATTTAAAGAGGTCTTCTGCAGAAAATTTACCCAATGCAATATGTCATCTGATTTCTTGATTGTTGCTTCCATGGGCGTTGATTGCGGATCCAAGTAAAATGAAATTCTAGATGTCAATCTTTTCTCTGTTTATTGTGATGTTGCTTACTGGTCCAGTTGTGAGGATTTTTGCTTTGTTAAGGTATAATCCATACTGAAGGTTGTATAGCCAAAAATGGAGATTCTTAATTCTGCCACTCAGCTTTGTGACCTTTGGGAAAGAATTTAACTTCTTTAAGCCTTCCCTAGTTTCCTCATTTGTCAAACTGGGAACAAGCTAATTCTTGGCCCATTCGAATGGGTTAATTAGGAAAGCCAAATGGCCTTCAAGTTTGAGCAGCTGTTCATGTACAGAGGAAAAGTATTTGATAAATACAGAGAAAAGTATTTGATAAACTTTAAAAACATTTGACTTATAAACCAAAAAACCAAACTCACTACTGTGGAGTCGGACCCGACTCACAGCGACCCCTCCTTGACTTTCCAAGGTGGTATCACTACGGAAGTAGATTGCCCAACCTTCCTTCCGAGGAGTGGATGGTGGGTTTGAATTGTCAGCCTGCTGGTTAGCAGTCAAGTGCCTTATGCATTATGCCACCAGAACTCCTTATTTGACATAAAATCATATAATCATATCATAATAAATATTATTTACTGGCGGTAGTACCTAATGAGAAGTAAAACTGACAATAAAATATGTATCAGTCCATATAACTGATATAAGGAGCCTTGGTGGTGCAGTGGTAAAAGTGCTTGGCTGTCAACCAAAAGGTCAGCAGTTCAAACCCACCAGCCACTCCACAGAATAAAGATGTGGCACTCTGCTTCTGTAAAGATTACAGCCTTGGAAAACCTATGGGGCAGTTCAACTCTGTCCTATAGGATTGCTGTAAGTTAGAACTGACTTGATGGAAACAGGTCTTTTTTTTTTTTTTTTAATAACTAATAGGTTATTATTCAGTTATATTTTTTGTTGTTATGTGCCGTCGAGTTGTCTCTGACTCATAGTGTACAGCAGAATGAAACACTGCCTGGTCCTGTGCCAGCCTCACAATCCCTACTACACCTGAGCCTATTGCTGCAGCCACTGTGTCTGTCCATCTCATTGAGGGCCTCCTCTTTCACTGACCCTCCACTTTACCAAGCATGACATCCTTTTCCAGAGAATGGTCCCTTCTGACAACACGACCAAAGTACATGAGACAAAGTCTGGCCATTCTTGCTTCCAAGGAGCATTCCGGCTGTACTTCCTCCAGGTCAGATGTGTTAGTTCTTTTAGCAGTCCATGGTGCTTTCAGCATTCTTTGCCAATAGCATAACTCAAAAGTATCATCTCTTCTTCAGTCTTCCTTATTCATTGTCCAGCTCTCATGCATATAAGGCGATTGAAAATGCCATGGCTTAAGTTAGGGGCATCTTAGTCTTCAAGGAGGTATCTTTGCTCTTCAGCACTTGAAAGAGGTCTTTTGCAACAGATTTGCCCAATGCAATAGGTCTCTTGTCCTGACTGCTGCTTCCACTGGCACTGATTGTAGAACTAAGCAATATGAAGTCTTTGACAACTTCAGTCTTTTCCCCATCTCTCATGATGCTGCCTGTTGGTCCAGTTGTGAGGATTTTTGTCTTCTTTACATTGAGGTGTAATCCATACTTCAGACTGTATTCTTCAATCTTCATCAGTAAGTATTCCAAGTCATCCTCACTTTCAGCAAGCAAAGTTGTGTCGTCTGCATATCTCAAGTCGTTAATGAGCCTTTCTCCAATCCTGATGCCACGTTCTTCTTCATATAGTTCAGCTTCTTGGACTATTTCCTCACATACAGATTGAAGAAGTATGGTTAAAGGATACAACCCTGACGCATTCCCTCCTGATTTTAAACCATGCAGTATCCCTTTGTTTTGTTAGAATGACAGACTCCTGGTCTATGTATAAGTTCCTCATGAATACAATTAAGTGTTCTGGAATTTCCATTCTTCTCAATGTTATCCACAATTTGTTATGATCCACACAATTGAATGCCTTTGCATAGTCAATAAAACACACGTAAACATCTTACAGGTATTCTTTGCTTTAAGCCAAAATTCATCTGACATCAGCTATGATATCCTTCGCTCCATGTCCCCTTCTGAATCCAGCTTGCATTTCTGGAAGTTCTCTGTCAATATACTGCTGCAATCATTTTTGAATTATCTTCAGTAAGAGCTCACTGTGGAACTGACCATCAACTGCTCA